TCCCCACATTTCCTGACTCTCTTCAGCTGTCCTATCAAATAAAGGCAAACGTCCCAAAAAAATGATAAAGAAAAAGATCTGCTTGTTTTGATATGTCCTTGTTTTCCCTGCAGGTTTGCGGGTGCTGCTGCTCTCAGGGTGCTCATGGGTAGCTGTCTCTGCTCTCTGCACGTCCAGCTGTCCCCTCTTGAGAACTCTGGATGTTCAGTGGGTGGAGGGACTGAAAGATGCTCAGATGAGGGACCTGCTGTCGCCGCCTACAGATAACAGACCAGGTGCCGACCTGCCATTCACACTCATACTGTCTGAACAGTTAAGAGTGAGCATGAATCAGGAGTGCCATTCAATGCCTGCTGTCAAATTTAAAGAAATAATAATCATATAAATAATATGTGGCATATTTTTCATACTGCCGAACAATCCCATGAAAGACCCAAACTGTTCAAAATGAGTCCTCCACAGCCGGCTTTAGGCCCAATGATTCTTTCTGAATACCTGCATATTTAAAAAGCGGTCGCAAATATAAAGCCTAGCTTTAAACAAGGCTAAACCATTTCCTTAAACAGCTTGACAATTTATTTTAAGTAATTGTTGCACCAAACAAGCATAAATAGTGAATATGTTTGTGACTATTTTCAGCCAGGGATTAATACGCAATAAGGTCTCTGGTGATTATTTTCAGCAGCAAGAGGGTGAATGCAGGATTAACTATGATGATGAATAAAGTACTGGGCCTGTTTTTTTATTTTAATGGATAAATGAACATCAACACCACAGTATAGCTCATTAAAGTGTTTTTTAATCAGCGGAAGTCTGTGTCACTGAGGAATACGTTATGTGAGGCTAATTCACAGATAAAAGCCTGATAAAACTTGATAGAAGGATCATATATTTAAACCTTTTTTATTTTATTTATTAATGGGATTAATTATACATGAGACAAATATTCACTATCAATTCAATAATCTTTCAAATTGATACAGTGAAGTAGAACCCTGATCATGATAATGTTTCAGACGTTTTTCCTGCAGCACTCACTGTAACTTTGCTAAATGTTGCTAAGTTCTGTGCTCGTGGTGGATGAATGTTCGGTCTTTGTAAATGAATAACAAAGAGTAAAGTCTAGAAGAGCTCTTTTTGTAAAGTTTCTCGAGATAACATTTGTTACAAATAAAGATTGATTGATTGGTGACTGACATTTGGCTTCTTGCACAAATGAACCCTTTACATTTGGTCTCTGTTCCTCTGATCATCTCTTATTTTCTTTCCTTCATAGGTCAGTTGGACAACAGGAGTAAGCTGCGTAACGTGGAGGACCTGCGCCTGGCAGGTTTGGACATTACGGACACATCTCTGCGTCTCATCATTCGCTACATGCCCTCGCTGTCAAAACTGGACCTCAGCTACTGCAACCACGTTACCGACCAGTCCGTCAACATCCTGACTGCTGCGGGGACGACCACCAGAGACTCGCTCACTGACATCAACCTGTCAGGTAGGTGCCCATCTGTGCTGCGTTTAACGTCAGCCCCCTAGTGGACAAATTCTGAATTTACCAGATAACTAAAGTAACAACAGAGGATTTTCACCTAACTTTAATTTTAAACATAAATAAAAGTATTTTACTTTATTTAAAGGGCCATATGAGTGTTTTTTAATCTTTACCTCTATAAACACAAATATCACATGATCAGCACATCATCTTCCAAAGCTCATTCCTATACTGGTTAAGGATCCGTGTTTTTCTGAGGGCCAGCATCTTTTTTTCAACTTTTTTCAGTTCACTAGAGAGCGTTTGCAGCACAGAAGAAAAAGTGCCCAGCGTTTATTTTCTCACCTAGTGCTCACCTTTTTGAAGGTTATGTAGTTGTCAAAGGGTTGTTCCACGTTGTCATACTGTTGCCTAAAACAGGCAAAGAAAATCCTCCAGTAACCAATATCGCAGATGCAAATAGAAAAAGGTACATTCGACTACTATTTTGCAGAGTACAACAACAATCCTGCAATAAATCTGACCTTCATGAGAGTTTCAATGATTATTTTTGCAGAAACGTTGTAAGAGAAGCCTCTGGTGTTATTTCTCTCCATGCAAACGCGGGCATGAAATTAGATAAAGATTGTGAAATCACTTTTTATTTAATTCCATGCCATTTGTTGCAGAGTGCACAGATGCTTGAAATAATCCAATATTACACTTTTGTCCTTCTGAAAAACCATTAACATCTAAAAGCAGTGAGCCAGAGACATTACGGAGATAGCTGAAAGGCAAACACATTTTGCCTTCCTGTTGGGTGCCACAGTCTCCTCATTCATCCTAAAAAGCCTTTCACCATAAAAAAAAAAATACTTTAAGGTTTCATGTCCCAGAATATCTTAAAGATCTGATTAATCCCTGTGTGTTTGTCTTACAGCTGTGTGTGTGTCTGTGCAGGTGACCTGTTCCGCTTCATTTGTGCTTTTCCTCCCTGCAGTGTGCAACCGGGTCACAGACCAGTCGCTGACCTATTTCAAGCGCTGCGGGAGCATTTGTCACATCGACCTGCGATACTGCAAGCAGGTGACCAAAGAGGGCTGCGACCAGTTCATCGCAGAGATGTCGGTCAGCGTGCAGTTTGAACTGATCGAGGAGAAAATGCTGCAGAAGATCAGTTAGGAAAAAGGAACACATTAATAAGTGGTGAAACTACTGACCACAAGGAGGCAGCAGACTACTGTGCGCTGTGACATGAACGTCTGCAGAGGACTAATCAGACACAGTCTCTGTTTCCGTGAAGGGAAGCCGTGCAGCTGAGCCAGAATGTACAAATCTTGTCCTGTGAAGACAAAAAAATGCAAAAATGTTTTTCTTCTTGTTTGCACTTGTTTCTAAGTTATTTATTTCTTTATATTGATTGTATTGTATCTTGTTTCTCTTTTGGTGTTATAGATTATTTTTTGTTCCAATGCAAAGTTTATTGCATAATAGAGTAATATTTTTGTATCAGAAAGTGTTTCCTACATTTATGTGCAGTATTGATTGCACCATTTACCGTTGAAATTGATAATCAATCGGCATTGCTGTTAGGCTCTTTATTGTTGCGAGGCAAAGGTCTATTGATTTGTTGCCAAACTGTAGGATGGTAGATTGTGTTTGTGAGTGTTTTTATACTTTTATTATGTTTCTGACATGTGTACATTTGTATTTCCAAACAATGCCTCCATGTCCCTTTGGGTAGAAGAAAAGTGATTTGCACTGCTACAGTCAAAATGAATACATGAATGTATTCACACATACACTACAGTATACAGTGACCAAGTATATAAAGCATATTTTTAACACTAAGATGTTCTACACTACTAACAGCTACTAGTTAACCAGGCTCTATTAAAACTGGCCTGCATACAGTCTTTAGCATAGTTGATGCTTTGTTAAAGAAGCGTTTGAGCTCTGCATGCAGCAAAGAAACAAGTTTACACCACAGCTAATATGTTGAACAATGTAACAGTTTACTACAGTCATTAGCTGAACTCCATATGAAACTGAGTGTTTTATTGGGCAACAGAAAGAATCAAAAGTCCAGGAATGTACAGAAGCCACAGCAGACTTGCATCATTGCTTTTTATCGACTGCGTTTTCCTGTGAGGACGAGTTCACTTCAGTTGTTATCCCGAGATCTCAGCCTTTGTTTCCCGCTGTCCTGGGATAACGAGACCGGTTACGGGACATTACGCCTCGTGGAAAAAGTGAGTAGCTAAAATGTATTGATAAATGTCTTCTTAGGGCTTCCTTAGGAATGTGATACATTTGCAGAAATCTTGATGAGTGTTTCTCAACTGGTGGGTCAGGACCCAAAAGTGGGTCACGGAGCCATTTTCAGTGGATTTGCGAAAGTGTGCATGGAAAAAATATTGTGCCACAAAAAAGTCTATGAAGGGCTTTTAAAACATGTTTGTCTGAGGTCCAAACCATTTTTTCACTGAACAAATCTGATTGGTTAAAAAATATCTGAAATTCATGTCCTGATTTTTCATGAGGGAGTTGGTGGTGGGTCCTGAGGCTGGACCAGTTGAGAACCACTGATCTTGACGACAAAGGGTGTGTTTCTCTTCTCGTCTCCGTCCCCTGAACCTCGTTATTCACGGTCTGTTAATTGCAACTTATTAGTGAGCCTTTACATTTGAAGATTTTCTATTTTTGAACATATCCAGCCAGTTTCATTTCACACATGGGCCAACAAGCCCAAACTTAAGATCACAAGTGTACATTACAGACAGTGTTAAATGATACATGTCGTTTATACTGTGCCATTGAAAAAAGAACTCAGTTTTCCAGAGATTTGTGTAAATCTAGAATTCTGTTTCTTTTTTTAGACATTCCACTTTCAGCTGACAAACAACCATGAACACTGTTGTTTTATTTCAGATGTTTTCAAATGTTTCTAGTTTGACTTTGAGATTAAATACCGATGGATGAAGAACACTACAATATTGAGATGCAGTGTACTTTAAAAGTGTTTATCATCATTTAGTTTTAATACCATTTTTAAAAAAAGACTAATTTTGCTTTTGGACTCTGGAACTCTCCAGTTTCAGATTTTTTTTGCTCTTAAATATTTTTTAAATTTCTTTTTTAGAAATGAAGTCTTTAAAAGTAATCGAGTAACTTTTGCGCAGCACTTATACAGTTCAGTAGATGGGTTGACATAGAAATGTTATGTTCTTTTTTATATTAAACAACCTTGTCTCCATCGTACATTTTATTTAATTACTGAAAATGTTCCGTCTGTACATATTGTACATGTAAAGCCTCTAGGAAAAGTTAAGTCAACTTTTGGGATATTAAATTTGTTTGAAACACGACGCTGTGTGCATATGGTCCTTCGGATTTTAAAAAACATGATTATGTCTTCACAGTTACATTTGGTCCGTTATTACATCTGAATGATCGCCTACCTCGCCTACAGCTTTAAGAGAAGAACATGCAGCCTGATGAATAAATGAAGAGCAGGGTTTAACTGTCTGGTTTGTAATACTGCTTTTTATTGAATCTAATAAATCATTTTCTCTTCTTTACCAAAATAAAAAGGTTCAAACATTCCAAAATATAAAGATCCAGGATTATGAGTGCTCAGGATGACCTCCGACTGATTCTACTGTAGCTGCCTGTGAATGACATCTTTTTAAAAACAGCAGCATCAACACACAGACTTACAGAGTTACAGTGTTTATTACAGTGCATGGTGTTTGGGTCATGTTTGGATCCGAAGCAGACGACGACAAAACAAAAAAAGAGCGCTTGAAACCAAAACCATGACTGCCACAGGTTTCATGGTGAGAGAGTGACACGATCAGCGGGCTGAGGGAGTCATGTGACCCAAACCAGCAGAAATACATTCTTAAAAATGTCTTATTCTTCATTTTTTAAAACCTCCATCATAATAATAATTTAAATTTCAAATCATGTTGTCTCCCAAGTAAATGGAAAAATATACATTTAATGACTGATCAGTAAACAACAATATAAGTAATCTATGCGATTCACTGAACGTATCACAGGCATACTGTACACACAGATATTTGAGTGGCGTCTGACTTAACTGGATGTCAAGACAAGAAAACGTAAAGTGTTTAGTTTGCATAACAGGTTAAAGTAAACCAGGCGTCCTCGACCTCTCTGCAGGATGGACCACTTTACAAAAAGATATGTTGATGTTACACTCAAAAGAGGAAGTAGCACCCGTTACCTACCTAACCATCCACACATTAACAATCACACAAACACAGAAAGACACTCAGTACAAGTTAAAACAAAATGCTATTGCATTGTGGCTGTTGTAGAAAATAAAAGAGGAATCTGTCTGTAAAAAAAAAAGGTCAACTTATGAGTTTTTATCTGATGCACGTCATGGTCTTCCTCTGAAAAAGGATGGTTCAGCAATCATTCATATTCATATTCATATACAACTATTGTTAGCTGACCCTTCTATTTAAAAAGCGGGCAACCGCCCTCTGCCGGAGAAGCCGAAGTCATGTGTTTGAAAACCTGGACTGTATATAAAAGTGGACAACATGCAGTAAAGGGCATAAACCCCGCCTCCTCCAGGTTAACAGAGGGGACATGGGTCGAACTATGCAGACTCTTGCTGTAAATGCCTTAATTGTGAGCCCCCATAGCCAGAGGGGAAATTGGTTTCACTTGTGTGCAACAGGAGCAGGTGGAGACATGTCGTCCATCTTTATACACAGTTAATGAGTTAAAAGTACAGGAGAGCCTTGAGTTTGGATTTTGTTTTGTCCAACTGCTGCTGTAAAGGTGTGTATTAATGAACTCTCCCATCTTTAGATGTCAAAGGAATGTATTGCCACTGCTCATTTCTTCTGCAGAAATCACATCCTCACTCGTTATTTTGAAGGAAATGCCAAAAACAATCACATCCTTCCCAAATATGCTCAAATATTTATTTGTACACACTTCACTTCCCTAAAATACAACTAAAGAGTAAACTACCACACCAAGCCTGCTGGTAAACGGATGCATAAGTTGTGAAACCAAATATGGATCAAAGGCATGACGTTTGGCACCTTACACCCTCCTGTGTGTGAGACCAGATGACTCGGTGCATTTCAATTGAAAAAAAAGAAAAAAGAAGATTCTTTTTATAAACACATGTAAGTCTCTTTTTTTCTGATATTGCACATCTTTAAGAACACTGAGGGAGATTACACAGTGTCATGTGGCATGACTGTGTAAACCATATTGACTCTAACCCTGGGATCTTATATTTTTTTCACCCCGCCTCCCTCCACCACACAGAAAAACCCAAACAGTGTCCACGGGACCGCCTCCTCTCCTCTCCTCTCCTCTCCTGTGAGTGAAACTAAACAGAGAACAGAGAGCAGGGAGTGATGGCAGGGCGTTTCTGCTGTGTTATGTTATCACACCGCTGAGAAAGAGGGTCCTGGTGCAGCTGATGACGGTCCAGCAGGAGGAGAAGTGGGGCGGGAACATGAGTTAGTAAAGGAGAAGGAAACCGTGGAGGGCACGAGGCAACAGTCTGGTTTCAGAGACCGGGGAAGTTGCGCGCACCCGCTGCAGCATTAGACCCTGCCAGACGTCATGCACAGCAGTTCATCCTCAGTGAGAAACTCCTCCCCCGCCGCACACACACAGATACACACGCAAAGTTTTAAGACTTGAAGACGTGCACGGCCCGCACCACGTACTGCCTGCAGATGGGGCACTCGCTCATCCTCTTTCCACACTTGGTGCAGGTGACCATGTGACCACATTCCAGCAGCACGCAGTCGATGATGGCATCCATGCAGATGCGACACAAGTTTTCATCTGCTGCCAGCTGAGTTTTGACCCCATCTGTGGACAGAAATATAAAAATGTAGTGTGATACACTCTTTCTCTGCAGGCTCAGACAAAAAAAAAATAAAAAAAATAGTTGAAAATGTAAAAATTAGAACATTTTTGATGCACCGTACTGTGGAAGTAGATATAAAGCAATAATGACTGATGAAGTGGAAGACATGCCACAAAACACATAAAGCAAAGCAGTTGGTGATTAACTGATGGAATTAATGATATGAGGTGATATAATATAATTTACTTTAGCTAAATGTACTTTGGTTTATTCATTTAGTCTCTTAAAAATTAGTATTTTTAACTTTTTCTGGTTCATTTTTAATCAAGGTTGTTTTTTTTAAAGATCATAAAAGTATTTTTAATTGTATTAAGTTGTGAATAGGATTGTCTTTAAAGACCATAAATTGGTTTAAAGAGCAAGAAACAAATAAAAGGTGGTATTTTTCAGATTTGTTAAAAAGTGCAGAAAATAAGAAAGAAAAACATTGAAAAAAATCCTGAAATTGGAGAAGTAACGTTTGGAAAAAGAGATGTTCAATTGTGTTTATTTGAATAATTGACCTTCAATGAGTTGAAAGTTTGAAATAAAAACAGAAAAAAAAGAAAAATATGTTGAATGGTGACTTTACATTTATCACCTCTTCTTACAAATTCACAGAAAAGAATCAGAAAAACAAATGACTCCTGTACAGAACGTACTGTTTAAATGTCTGATGGCTGATTGTCAGCTCATTGGCCTAAACCTGACTCTGTTTGACCACATCTTGAACGACGGATATAAAATAAAGCCGATCGATGTTCTCCCTGTCCCTCTACTTACAGTATGCTGACTGACTATTAAGTGGGCTAATAAGATACAAGGTCTTCATGTCAACAAGAGATCCTCGAGAAAGATTCATAATGCAGTTACACCTGATGGAGGCAAGCTGCCAATGCAGTGATAGGTCATCAAGAGATAAAAGCTCTCACACAGAGTGCATTATTGACAGGAAGTGAGGCTGTCCTTCAAAACACCATGAAATAATACACACTGTGGAAAAAAAACAGCAGTGGCAGAGTGTGAAGACACTGGAAGATAATGACTCAAGTGACCGTAATGTGATCATATATAGGATGAGAGAGAGTTGAGAAATGCTGCAGCAGGCTTCTACTGTTACCACATGGTCAATGTTTGTGTTTATGGAGGAGATGGAGCTGTAAGGTGGCTTTTTTTAATGTAAACATCTTACCTCCAACACCACTGTTGCAGAGAGGTGGAGGATATGCAACCACTTTATAAATAAAAAAAGGGGCAGTAATGAAAAAAACATCTATTAGTTCAGACAACTGTGACTTTACCCTTTAACCTAGAACAGCATCATTGACATCACATGAACTAAATATAACTATATTGTGTATGTTGGTTTAATATGTTAATATCGGTGTTCAAATTATAAGCTATGACAACATTTTAAACTTGGATGTATTGTGCTAATAAAAACAATAATTACCTGCTGTTATGCTGACATTTTCCACTAAAAGAAAAAAAAAGAAATGTGTTTTTATCTCACAAAACATTGATGTTTAGAAGGATATTCCAAAAAGAGAAGCAAAAACAAAGCAAAAAAGTAGTGAAATCTCTTACTGGACTTTCTGTTTTGCTGGTTTTCTCTGTACAGTCGATGCACTCGCTCCAGCAGCTCCCATTTCTCGCAGCAGCCGGAGTAGTTGACAAAGTTCCTGGCGAGGATCTCTTTGAGCTGGCGGACAGAGAGGTTTTCTATCGCCTCCTCATTGTCCAGATCAGACAGCGAAGCCCTGATCCTCCTCTGTGTTGCCGGACTGACCTGCAATACACAGGTCTGTTGATTACCGACGTTTTCTGCGTTCCCTGAAAGCCTCGTCATTCACAATAATGTTTGTTAAAGGTCACATATTATGCTAAATTCACTTTACCAGGTTTTTCTAACACTAATACGTGTCTCCAGCCTGTCTACAAGCCCCCCAATAATGAGAAAATTCCATCCTCTCCGTCTTTTGCCTGCTCCACTTTTCAGAAAATGTGTGCTCAAACAGGCCGTTTGGAGATTTTCAGTTCATGACATCACAAAGGGCAGTAACCCCTCCCCCAGGCGATTGACACTCCCACAGGTAGATGTTTGTTCTGATCTCTGAGTCTACCTTCTCACCATAAACAAATGGGCATGCTGCAAGAAAGCCCGAGCCACATCCTCTTCCACAGAGGTGGCGTGGCCAGACACAGCTCATTTGCATTTAAAGCTACAGACACAGAAACAGCCTGTTCTGAGCAGGGCTGAAATAGAGGGGTTTATAGACATGATGAAATACAGGATCTGGGTGGATTTTTAACAATAAACTTGTTCTGAGAACGAGCTCTGAGACTTGTTTCAACTGGTTGAAAAGGAGGATAACATGTGACCTTTAAAGTTATGGAAGCGTGCCATACCTCCATCATATTTTCTGTGGGCTCCAGGTTCAAGAGGGACGCAGTGGGAGTGTCCTCATGCTCCTGTTTGAGAAGAAATCAACATAATACATTTAATTTCATGTTCAGCCTTCAAATCACATCATTTTACTGTTTAATCTCCAAATATCAAGTTTCTCTTTCAGCATCTGCTGTTAGAACAATATGGATACAGAGTGCAGTCAAAACCAAGTGTAACAATTAACCTTGACTGTAGATTAGAGGCCTTCTCCTTTCCTTAACAAGATTGCGCATTTATTATGCCTGATTACATTGTATAATTTTCTGTGCCTCTGTATTACTATCAACGCCACGATACTTTATGACTTCACAGCCCCCTGTGATCTCATTCTTTAAATTGCCACTGTTCAGATATCTAATAAAAGAATAGAGGCTTTGTTGTTGCTCTAAATGCACAGTTAATTATTCTCTTTGAAGGTGGAGGTCAGGATTTTGCCGGATGAAAGAAGAATAAATGAAGCAGAAAAAGCAGAGACGCTGTTTGGTGTGAAAGTCTGTTAATCTCAGCCATTTATGTGCTATGGAGAAAAGATATCGCTTCTTTATTCTTTTATCTGCTCGACAAAAGAGCTGAAATAAGTTTTAAAAAAAAAGGTGTGTGACGTCATGCTGTCTCAACAGTATAAAAAAAAGTGAAATCTTCTGTTTCTCTTTCAGCAGACCTGCACTGGAGTTGTGTTAATAATGTATCATTCAAACACCAGGCTTTTACTCAGGCTGGACTCCTCAGACACACAAAGAGGAGCACACAAGTCCTGTTACACAAAAAGTGCTAAACCTCTGTGGAGCACAAATGTTCTTTGACTTCATGTAAGACATCGTTCTGCCAAGTGTGGAAGTAAAAGAAAACTCATTTAGAGAACAAAGACTTCTGTCAAGCTTTTCAAGCTGCTAAAGTCATGACTATTTAAAGAAAGAAGTGTTATGAAAGGTTTAATCATTGTTCCAAATCAAATAATCAATGAAAATATTGTCCCAGTGTAGAGCAAGGTTTTGTCTTTCAATGTCACAGTTCTAGGATTTAGTCACCCCCAGAGTATTGGCACTTTTGGAGACCAAATCATTATAAAAGGGTGGACACCAGCCCAGTAGAGTTTTTCTGAAGGTTTAGCCAAGTGTCTAGTGGATAAGAGGATAAAGGAAATCCCCATCACACTCCATGGCCACAGATTGCTGCTCTCAACTGTAAATACAAGAACCAAGAAAAACCAAGGAAGAGAACATCGATCCTTTAGTTACTGAAATGAATGCAGTTCATCTCTATTACACAAAAGTAGAAGTCTAAATCCCCCACAGGCCGAGCTGGCATTATAATATAGGCTGGAGTTTTGCAGTAGATTGTAAAGATACCATATTGGAGAACAGTCACATAACTTAACACTACAATCCATATGTTTCTAAGCATCAGACCAGATTTGCAAAGGAGTCGCAATATTTGGTTGAAACACTCTACGTGCTGATCTAGGTTTCGTCCCACAGAACATTATATCTGCACTTCTATGTGGTTTAGCTTGTGCCTGTTCTATCTGACCTCAAGATGCAGCAGCTCCCTCATTACATCAGGTTTTTAAAGGTTTTATCAGAAATAACCAGAAATACAGTTAAAAATCAGGGGACGCAAGACCTAGAAAGTTTTCTGAGCGCTGAAGTGTCATCAGTCTAGTTCTAGTTTTTTTTCCAATTTCAAATCTAATTTAGAAATCATTGCTTGCAAATGGTCAAAAGTATTGAGGTGGCCGAGAAGAAGAGATCATGGAAAATCGAAAGTTCAGATTTGTATGCTTTTATAGTCATAAAAAGTTAAAGATGACACAATGTTAAGCTTGGCTGTGGAAGATTGTTTTTGTTGCACAAATAAATATCCTCTATAACTTGAGTTTCAGGCATATGAAAAAGTTCTCATGCCAGGAAATCAGAGGTGGAATAAAGAAAAGATGAAGTGTGTTGGGTGTGAGAGCAGGGATGTTCTGTTGTGTTTCTGCTGTCAGGCTGCAGCTGTGACGCTGTGGGGAGTTCTCAACCTGTGGGCCTGTTACATAACAGACTCAGCCATGTAACCGACCTAAAAAAGGCAAAGAGCTTAAGCTGCATCGTTGGCTAGTCTTAGGAAACACACACACACACACACACACACACACATATACACATGGCTAACACAGCTGTTTCCAGCTGTCACGTTTGCATGCTGCTGAACACTGGACCTGTGCTGTAAATCTCAGATTCTTCTGTATGAATGAATGGGGAAAAAAAATACAATGAAATGTGGTGGATTGTTATGGAGAAATAAAGCAGAAAAAAGTCAACAGGAAGACCCTAACCAGAAAAATACAATGAAAAAACATCTGACATCAAAAGAGATGCACGAGAGGGTGTTTGTCGGTTTGTAGGAAGATCTCCTGACTTAAAACAGCCAAAATGAAACTTGTAAAGAAGCATAATTATCTGTGATAGAATGAGGACAGATGTGAAGGAAGTATGGCATATGTAAATGAGAGAACGTCACACACACACACACACACACACACACACACACACACACACACACACACACACACACACACACACACACACACACACACACACACACACACACACACACACACACACACACACACACACACACACACACACACACACACACACAGACCTCACCTGAGAGGCGGAGAGCACGGACTGTTCAGAGGCGGAGCGTGTGGCGGAGGGAGGCGAAGCAGCCTGCGAGTTTGGGAGTGAGTGCAGACTGTCCGTGTCGTCATCCCCCCCTTCATCCTCCCCCTCCTCCTCCTCCTCCTCCTCCTCCTCTTCATGTGTGGTGTCCTCCTCCTCCTCCCCCTCCTCCTCTTCGTCCTCTTCTTCGTCTTCTTCTTCCTCCTCGTCCTCCTCCTCCACCAATGGTCGCGGGGTTTCCCTCGTTCCTTGATGACACAGCACCAGGTCCACCAAGTCCTCCTTCTCCCTGCATGTGTCCGTGGGGATGTTGCGCAGCAGCAAGTACTGGCGCAGGTCTTTAACTCTCAGCTGCATGAGCCGAGGCCTCTGGAAGGCGGTGCCACGCAGAAGGTGGCAGGTGGTGCAGCAGCGCAGGTTCTCCTGCAGCACCGAGCATAGGGCGCAGAAACTCTTCTTACAGTCACAGCAGATGTGCTGAAGGAGAGACGAGATGTGATCAGAATTGATTTGAATACTGAGTGAAGAAACCAAACATTTTCAACATCGTTTAAGAAACTTCATTACTTTTAAACAGGCATTTTGTTAGCACAGTGAACTATTTATCCATGTTGCTTTTCATGAATAAATTAAGCATCTTCTGAGAAATCTTTCAAAGACTTTAATGATAAATAATGGGTGAAATGATGGAGGCGTAGTCACTGAAGCTTCTGTTTGAATAAATAATAATAAAGTCCTCATTTATATTCAAATGAGTAATCAGTAACGTCACTGCATTCCTTGTTTTTACTGACTTGAACCACATCATTAAAGAGAACTGGTTGGTAATAGAGAATTAGAATAAATTCACTTTAGTCAGAAATTCAGTCAGTTTATTAATCATTATTCTAAGCACACTGATTCAAAACTGATCTGACTGATATTAAAACAGAGTGGATGTTGATTATCATCAGTGTGATTATTTTGCATGTTATCTTTTCTGCATATGTTGGTATGAGCACATTCATTACTTTATTCAGTAATATATGAGGTAAAATGACAAAATATTTGCATTCAAAAGCATCTTCAGTGTGTAGGTTAGTTGTAGCTGGAAATGTAGCTGGAAACCAGACTGGGTTGACATCAAAACCTGAATTTTGGATTAATGTCAAACCCTGGCATTGGACTGATGACAAAAGCAGATATTGGATTAACATTTAAAACCAAACATTGAATTGAAGTTCACTGCCAACACTGGATGAAAAACTGAATTTGCTTTTGTCAATTATAATCAGATTCTTTCTTCAGTGTTAGACCATCTTCAAAACCTGTCAAAATTTGAGGTCAAAGCCCGCCATTGGAATGATGTGAAACCTGACCTTGTGTTGACATAAAAAACCTCACGTTGCATTGATGTAAAATCCCGATATTAGATTGTAGTCGAAACCCAACATTAGATTGATATCAAATCCTGACATTGGGTTAAAATCAAAACACATCATTGGGATGACATCTAAACCTGATGTTGGATCGACATCAAAACCAGACTTTGGATTGATGTCACAACCCAAGGAGAGTGACATCATAACTTGATGTTGGACTGATGTAAAATACCAACACTGGACATTGAATTGATATCCAAACCCAACATTGGCTTGATGTCAAATCCTGAAGTTGGACTGACTTCAATGACCCACATTGGATTTTAATGTCAAAGCCCAACAATTGATTGGCACCAATTAATATATTCTGTTCTAGAAATAAAAATTGGTATTTCACATTAAATTCATTCAAAATCTTTACTTGAAAATGGAATATGGCATAAGTTTTAGAAAAAAATATTCACAAATGTTTTCATAGAAAAAAATAATCTTGTGATAATCATTTATAAAGCAAACACTTTCATCTCATTTTGTGATTTAGTGATAGACAGTCAGCCGTCTTTGGTGGATCCCCATGACAACGAGAAGCATTAGAAACCAAAAACACATCCTGTGTGCTCTGTAACTTCTTAGAAAGAATAAAGAAAAGAGAAAAAGTGAGCGGTTCCTAGTGATGTTTGACATTTCACAGTCTTCACACTGCCTCCTGATAGAGAGCAGTGAGTAGATTGACACTTCAAATGTGCAGAAAGCAGGTCAGCCCTTCTCTGAGCCATTCCTTATCACTTTTCACAAACATGTTCTGCTCCACCAGAAGCATATTTCCAACAGCAACACATACTTTTCTTCAATCGTTTTGTGTTAATCCCCTGGCACTTCTTTTTTTACACGATAAAAATATCACGCTGACACACTAATGTGTGTGTCCAGGGAGTCAGGGGAAGTGTGTGTGTGTGTGTGTGAGGATAAAGTGATTTCAGAGTAAAAACAGCAGCGATTCATCAGTATCTCAGAGCGTCTGTCTTCCAGACAGACACAGACACTCTGCCATTTAACTCAAATGCCACCCTGAATATGCATGGTGAGTGTTCTCCAAGGGAGAGCCCAGGGTTTCTGCAATTAACAGCATTGGAAAGAAGAAAAGAAAAGTTCAGGATTTCTAAAATAAATGGTGGATATGTTACCTGTTATGCCCATTGCAGTTATTAAAATGAAACCATTTGAGAAGTTTACCTGGGAAATCTCATTGTGCTGGAGCTTGTTAACAACTAAAGAAACTAAAACATATAAAGGATTTTTAGAGTTGGCAGTTACATGTAGAGGACTAGAGTATATTTCACTCTGAAAGAAAGTTAAGAGATGGTACAAAGTAGCAAAGATTGGAAATGCTTAAATAAAGAAAACGTACAGTAAACTGTACTTTAGTATTTGTACCTTTACAGCTGTTTGTTTCTGTTTAATACATTTAAAAATCTGCTCACACTTTCTTTAACCTGAATTAAACAATGTTCCAGCTTTGTGCTTACGAGATAATCAGACATGATCATCCAGGAGCCGCCTCTAGTGGCCTTCAACTTGCTGTGACATTATTCAACTAAACTAAGTCTGTTCCTACTATTATATTCCTGTAAACCGTTCACAACCGACGGTGCTGTAAAATAGTATGTGTTCAGCCAACCTGCATCGTAAAATAAAGATGAACTAAATGCGCTTGTCCTGAGAGAAAAACAATTGAATGAATGTCGGTGTTTCCTTGAATGCACCACGGAGTCCCTGCTCACAAGTGCACGCAATGATTACATAATTCAAACGGAGAGAAAAAAGCTGACTAAACCTTGGCTGTGAGGGATTACTGAAGCAGGTTTCCTCTTTGCACGTTGATTTTTTTTTTTAAATGCTGACATGAAATGAAAGCAGGCAGCTGCTCTTCAGTTGAAACAAACAGCTTAATGTGGAAAAACCTCAGCATCAACGGACAAAGAAAAAAAAAAACATACACAGAGTGTAGTTTACCTTGCGTCTGAAGACAGAGAACGCCAGTCCACAGGCTTTGCACAGCTGTCCGGCACCCCCTGAGCTGGTGGGGGGGTAGGTGGAGTACCCGGCGCTGGGGGCGAAGCGGAAGGGCCCGGCCCCTGCTCCGAACCCCGGTTGCTGCGCCCGCACTGTGCCCGTGCCCATCACCTCGTTCAGCAGACCACAACATGATGCCCACATGGACGAGGCCCCTGCCTAAAAGAATAAACACACACAAAATAATCATAATTTTAGAGACATCTTATAGAAAAGTTTAGACACAGAATATGCCTGATGAAGGTCTAGTCCCGAAACGATTAACAAATTAGAACGACGCGCTTCAGCTTGTGGCCTTCACCAGAGTCATCTTTTTTGAATTTGTGCATGGATTGTGGGGTGGGGGGGGTCATATTGTTGCTTATTGCTTTGTTTTCTAATGTAAAACACTGTGTGCTCCATACATAGTATGAAAAGAGCGACACAAATAATATTTGAATGGTTGACTGTGTGACGGCCCTGTGGCCTGTCAGGTTGTGCCTTCTCTTCTCCTCTCTGGTGTTGCAGCTAAACGCAATCGGTAGGTGTATAAAAGCTGCCACCTTAGTCTGCTCAGGGAGACTTTCTGCTTGTGCCTTGTTTGGTTACTTCATTGTCCTTTTCCACCCAACACATGCACAATACACTTTTCTCTACTGACTCTAGTGTCTCTCCCTTTGGTTGCCATGGCCTTTGAGCCGGTCATGACAATTGATTGATCATTTTCATGCTGTTCAAATAAATGATTTACTACTTATCCAATGTATTAACGTTTCTGTATCACCTTACTAGAATCCTTAATACTGATGTAATACCACAGTCGTTCGCTCAATGACACCATAACAAGCTTAAGTAGAGAGTCTTCCATTATTGAGAGAGAACATCAAGCAAGCAAGTGAATGAGGAAGACACGGAGGACGGCTGAGAGATATCATGCAGCACATTATGTAGAGTGCTCTTTACCAGCCTGTGAGGTTAGAGATAATGAGACACAAGCAGACTCTAAAAGCTCCTATTAATGACAAGAGTTACTTCATGCCACTGCATGCATTGTTTTTTTTTTTTTTTTTACAATTTGATACACAAATAAGCCACAAAGAAGTTTCCCCAACTCTTAACCACACTTCAAATAACTTGCGGTAGACATTATGTTGCGTTGCGTTTATGTCCTCAGGAAGAAAGGAAACTCATCCTGTAAAGTTAATGCGAGCGTTCAGAGTCTTGCCGGATCTGTTTGCTGACCACGAGGCCGGACGTAGACAGGCAGCAAAGATGGCGTGATGGGATCCACGGCTCCTTGGAGCATACTGATGAGGAGGGAGGGAGGGAGGGAGAAAGAACAGCGAGGAGAGAATATGTCTTCTGTTGTCCCCCTCCCTCTCCCTCTCCCTCGTCCTCCTCCTCCTCCTCCTCCTCCGGCCTGCAGAATCAATAGCTGACATGAGCATAATGTAAGCCCTCTGTGCCTCCTGGCTCTCTGTGAGGGGAAAACAATGGAATTCACAGGGCACCGCTACTTCTCTTCTTTGCTCTGACTTGTCACAAACACCCTGTGATCTGACCTCACCCATCTGCTTAGGGACTGCTTATGTAAGCACAGGAATGAGCAACTATATGTGGAGTCACAGTGAGGAAGAGGAGGAGGAGGAGGAGGGGGAGGGGGAGGGGGGAGGCTTTCCCCTGCTGCAGCGAGGCAGCCAGGACGTATTTTTAAAGGTTAGATATGTCATTACGCTGGAAATGGTGGACGGTTTGCTGGATGGATTTATCCATCCAATTTTTCCAATCTGGGCCGAGGAGCGCTATTAATCAACATTCTTAAAACAAATCATTAAAGTAATTCAGATCTTTGAGTCAAGACACATTTAATTGTGCATGTTTACGAAACAAACTGGAATTTAAACATAACAGCTTTTATTATGAAAACAATAACTGCTTCATTAGCCTTTGTAGCCAGCGTTACAAGAAGCAGTGTTCAGCGCTTACTCAGCTCATCCAAAACATTCTATTTGAAAACATCAATACTGTTATACTACAATCAAATAAAATGAACAAATTCAGAGAAAAGAAGTGAAATAAAAAAAAATCTGAAACACATAAGGAACTTACAAACATAAATAGAGCATTCAGCTCTTGTGTTATTTCCATTCAATTTTCTTTCTCCAAAAGCTAAAAACCTTCCAGTAGAAAGAAACATTGGGCTTATAGCTTTTCTAACAGATATGTAAAGGATTCTGCAATCAGTGAATGCCAAATTATTTGCCAATAGGCCAACCTGTCCATCTGTCCACAGGGCAACTCAGCTGATATTACTCAGCTGATATTACTCAGCTGTCATAGAGCTGAGTCCCTAAGTATTTCCATTTTCTGTGATATTACAGTGAAGAAAAAAGTCTACAAAATGTGAACTTAGAAAGGCTGGAAGCAGTAGATGACATTGATATTGTATGACATATATGTCTATACAAAAGTAATTGGCTTATCATTATATTCTCTACTTTTATGCCCACATAAAACCATCTTCTGTAACAACTTGGATATTTTGCCCTTGGCAGACACTTGACCTGATGTTCAGTTGCTAAAAAAAAAAAACTAGAGACAGCCTCCCTCATATGGCAGTTAAAAAAACAAACAATAAAAGGAATATTTACTGCGTTCTGCAAGACGGAGATCCGCTGCTGTCTGCCAATGAAATCAGACTTATGTGGCCATGATCCAGCAACATGAATTCCCTCTGTCACTGCAATTAGCACACTGTAAGCTCTGCAGGCAGGGAGTCCCGAACAAACAAGGGACAAGAGGAAACATCACATGGACTACATTGTTTTTTTTTTTATTCCCTTGGACAATTTACATTTCCCCTATGGCTTCATCACTTAAGCTGTGCCTCCAGGGAAACAATTTTGTATTTATGTATTTGTCCTTCCAGTCACCTTTGGAAGCGCCGACTGACGGAATAATTGAGATATTTCTCACTTGGCTGCTGGATTTTTAACATCAAACAGGAGCTGAAGTCTGCACACAAACAAACACCGAGAGGACAGAAAGTAACCGAGGTTCAGATTTAAATAAAACAAACTAAGGGGGGGGGGGAGGAAGACAAGCAGGCCTCATGTGGACGAACAGCAATTTGACCTCATAAAATCAACTTTCCAGGATCACATCTCAAAAATTGCCCTGAATCAGAGACAGCAGTTACCATATGGGACATGATGCAGTCTAAATGGGTCATGTTGAGACTGGATGTTTATCTTAAACTGAATCAGGCCTGACAACAGGACAGAAGACTTTTTACCTTCATTTGAACAATATCAAGTCGCATTTCATGAAGTGTCCTGCAGCTACGAAGTTAGTAATATGTCTTTGATGCCTCTGAAGGAGCTTTTTGAAGCAGCCTAAATATAGAAACCCTGGTGATGTCATCAGAGTCGTTTTTGGTTAATAGTTTCTGCTTAGACTTAAAACACAAAGCTTTTATTTTGTTTTATTATATCAATCTGGAGGTGTGGGGTTTAAAAGATGTACAAGGAGGAAGTTGCATTATGGGTATTGTAGGCTATTGTTGTTTTTTTTAGGATAAATAACATTATGTAAAAAAAAAGTGGGATTATCTCGTCCTCTGTTGCTTCTCTCTCTATATTCTCTTCGGCTCTCAGCACAATACAAATAACTGATGCGCCGTTGTTCACTACAGTCTGCACGTGGCTAATTTGAACCAAACTCTTATCACGGTGTACTGAATGTTATTCTGTGCGAGTCAAGCTATACAAAGTTTGTAGTGAAACAAATGTGTTTTAATAAAGAAATACGTCAATAGAGTTTTGATTTATTCTGTGGATGAAAAAAAAAAAAAAGTTTTAACTCCACCAATTATTTGCAACACGATTTGTTCTTTGAGAAATCAAATCTTAAAGCTGCTCCTGTTTGAGAGGTAACAGAAAATGTTCTCATGGCACACACAGCATTGTTCCCCCAGGTCAATCTGTTACAGGTGGGGGCACGGTGCCCGCCAATATTTCTTTGTTGTAAATTAAAGGAGGAAACAATAAGATAAAATACATAAGATATGTTTGTGTTTTTCTGAAATTATAGTGCACATAAATAGAGTATTTTGTGCATTTATTTTGGGGTGGTGGGCGGTCATGTTGGGGTAGTGGGCCCCCATCCCACAAAACATGGTAAGGGAAACACTGCATGGTCAAATATAGTCCTGAGCATCCTATAGTGACCTCTGCAAGTACCAAACAAGCAGCTTCACAAAAGTGTTCAGTCTACGTAACACTGTAATATCATACATTGTATCACCATCTTTATATCTTCCCATCATCCACTGCTTTCTCTTGCATTTCATTTCCTCTTTCTTTTTTTTTCCCTCTGGCATCATTGTGTCACTCATACTGACAGAGCGGAATTCAGCTGCATCACTGTTGAGCCCAGGGAGTAATGTTGACTCTAAAAAAAAATCAATTAATGACTGTTTTTGACAATACAAGCATTCTTTTCTGTAAATTCAACCTATAAAAACACTTCAATGGAGTCGTCTGGAGCCTGCAGATGCCAGAAAGCAGACGACCGAAGAGATGTGCGCATAAAACTGAAGCTGCCACCAGTAGTCTGGATTTGTGTCCTGCAAAATAACAGACTTACATGGTTTACTGCAAAGGCAGGGGGAGGACTTTGTGGAGGATTTAGCCTGGAGAATTCTTTTGATGCATTAATAAAGAGATGTATTCCTGCTGCACAGACTGTCCTGCAATATAAAAACATGACTGGACTCATTTAGCACCACAACAAGAATCTGCTGTGCCCTCTGGACTGTTTGTATAGCTGCTGATGTCTTGATCTACTTTAGAAGAAGTCTGTTTATGGATCTAGAATAATGCACTACGCTGGCTGCAGTGCTACATCTTATAGTTTCATCTCAGATTTGTGAGTATTTGCATCCAGGATGTACAGAATGAGCTGGGACATTAAATGGTGGAAAGGAACGTGAATGTATCATGTGTGATAATCAAACAACACTGGGTCTATCCCTGATTAAAATGGTTTTGTTAATACACTGTACAGCATGGTTTCCTGTTTCAGATGTATGCTTGTACACACTTTAGCCAACGCTGTTCCACAGGGGCAGAAAAGCTGCTTTTCAATTTAAAGCAGATTAGTCAATAAACATCTCGTCCATTTTGATTCCCAGGGACACAGTGAGTGATGATGATGGGCTTTAGGAAGATGAACTATGCTGCCCTGCAAGAGTGAAAAATGGCAGATCCCAGTGCATGACAAATATCACACAAGTACTGATGATGAAGCTGCAGGAATTAGACATTATCTTAGCTTGATTGTGGCTGTTGTGTTCAATGCTAGATTCTTGTGCTTCCCGATATACTTCTCGTTTGTTTCTGCAGCAGAAAATGTACCTAAAATATTGTGGCCTTGAGCCAAAAAAAACAAACAAAAAACAAGTAAAACTTAAGGTTTCATCCACTGCTGTAATGCTTCTTCTCTCATCTTCATCATGTTCAGCTCCTTAACATGAGAAAGTATCAGGAGCTGCAGAAATATTGGATTTCAACGCAGAGTGGAGGTAGAAGCAAAGGCAATATAAAAGAAAGTGATTAACTGCTGGATAATTAAAAAAAAAAAACAACAACATGCAAATATTAAATGTGTTTTTTAAGTGCTAGATACTCCAACACAATCTTGATGTATCCTAAAATGGCTTTTAAAAACACAAGGTTCTTGTAAGTGTATTTTTTCACCTTCAGTGATGTTTAACCTTTAGCTATAACAAAAAAAAAATATCTTACCAGCCTGAGCGGAGCAGCAACTTAGCTTGAAGCTGCTGCTCAGGGGAAACCCTCAGTCCTTGCTCATAATATTCTGTCTCTTACTCTGAAATGTAGCAAGGTCCCGCAGAATAGACGCTTTTGGTGCATGTTCTTCACAGGTAAATATAAGTCACGCATCATGGCATGAATGTAGCCTACTTAATTATGCTGCATCTCTTGGTTTGAGGGTGTCTCGATCTCAAAATGACGAACCCTGAGGCAACTTGTATTCTTCATGATGTCTGTGCACAGTCTTAATGATGACGATCAAGGTAGTGACAGCCCTGCCACCTCCTCACCTTTCACCGTGACTCTCCACAAACCTGCCGCCGCCACCACGGCACCGATGACATCATCGCCATCATCTTCACCGTTATCAGTCCTCAGAGCTCGAGCTACCAGACAGCATCATCATCTGCTTTCTCTCCCCCCCCCCCCCTCTCCAATGCTGCAGCACAAACACACACACATACACAAACACACTCTACACAGAGCGGAAAGGAGACTCCTGACACAGCCCGGTTGGACCTGAGAGGTGAATCTCTCTTCATCCCATCGAGACATCCCCCAAACATCCCCCTCACTCACTACCTCACTCTCATCTCATTAGAGCGGATTAGAGCCTGACGATGAATGGACGTCTCTGCAGCGGCTTTAGTCCACTGAACTATCACTCTGGGGTCACAGCAGGCTCGTTAAAAGGCTACACACTGTACCTACTGTTTATCGGGACGACTAGAGACGCAGGGGAAGCCTTGCCATGGTTGCACGCCAGGAAATTTCAAAAATCACACCGACAGTGTCGCAAGGGCAGCAGGGTGGGAATATGAATATGACAAGTTCAAATCCAAGATTCACTGCTACGTATAAACGCGAGCCTGTTGATATATTCCCATCCAAAAGCGCACACAAACACATTGAATTGACATTTGAAATTGAGGCATCCTCTGCCTGTAGGTGCAGTCTCGCGAGCAAAACGAGGCAAATGTGCATCGTCAGTACATCCGACTCACAAAGGGACCGCGGCGCAACCACGTACCTTCATTGCACCTCCCGTTCGAGGAATCTGCCGAGTAAAGTCAGGACGACGACCATCGCAAATGCACAGGGAATCAAACCATTACGTCTTCCCTCTCTCCAGCCGTCCTGCCTGTGTGTGTGTGCGTGGAGTAGGCAATAACGTAATGGCCAGCAGAGCCGCAGCCAACCACGGCGCGCACGCAGAAGCTGGTATCTTTAGCAGCCAATCCGCCCGAACACACAGCGGCGGAGTGGGCGGTCAGTGCGCGTGCGTAAAGACGCATGTGCGAGCCTGACAAGACGCATCATGCTATTTTCACAGCTCCGGGTTATGCTGTGGTGAATTAGCATTTTTTTTTTTCTTCTTCTAACAAGTTATTGTTTCTTATGGCAAGTAGATAACTACACCTGACTTGAGTCAAGGATGAGTATTAAAGGCGTATTTTTAGCTTGATTTTTCTTATTCTTACTTATTATTTCTGTTGCAAAGGAAGAAAAAAAAAGATTGTTATTATTCAGACTGAGGAGAAATCACGTTTTTTTCATGTTTATAAATTAACCGGAGGATGGATTATTTACCCCCTTCGCAAACATGCACGGTTTGTTTTGTACCAAAACTAAATGCGTCCACAATCTTATTTACTGCCACATTTAGCGTGCAGTGCGTGTTTGCATGTGTGCATGGCTGTGACAGTGCGCGCGCTGTCTGCAGTAAGGAGATTAGAGGGGTTTTCTTCCATATAACGTCGGTACCGCCGTCAACCCGCAGGGGGCAGCAGATAGCCGCTTCCACCCTACCATTATCATTGATCACTGAGACGCAACAGAGCTACAGGCGAGGAAGGCAGCTCGTGCTCTTCATTATGCTCTGACTGTGTAATGCAGCTGAAATCAAACAGACTTTTTAAGTCATGCAAATGTTGCAGCGGTCCTGCACGAGGAAAGAAATACTTTTAAGGTGCTGATGAATCACAATGATGCAAATGGAGTTTTGTGCTGCTGCCTGAATCACTTTAGATTCTCTGCCATTTGCGCAACATCAAACAGAGAGCCTACTATGTTGATTTTATTTAACACAAGCACATTCAAAGATGTGTGGAGGCCTTCAGGCCATCGGTGACACACTTTAGCGCTCCAGATTTGGCCTGAATATTCCGTCCCGGGGCTTAAACATCAAAGTTGTATTGAAGTATTAATGTGTGCAAACTTCTTTTTCGCTTGAAAGAAGCAGACACGTTACCTGTGAAGGTGCATTTAGCTTTGATTCTATCTTTACGCAGCATTTTCCTTTTCACCTGATTTTAGAGAGGTTGAGCGATGCAGACTTGGCCATATTGACCCATTTTTAAAAGGGGATATCTGTCGCCACCTAAATACATTCGAGACCAGCAGGATTATTTTTATAGGGCTATCAGCACTGAAAAACATTTTTTTTAAAATATACAGCAACACTTTTCTTTTTCCAAAAAACAGTGTCCCATTTTATGTGGTTAATCCGCACAGCTCACTGCCAACAGTTTATATTGGGACTATTTTTTCCAGGAATAAGTAAATCCACAGAAATATGTCAGCTTCTAATCTATTGTAACTGGGACACTTTTACTGGAAAATGCTTTCTGCTAATTCTGATAAATGAATTTGTCAATGTTTTGAACACATTGAATTTTGGGATTTGCATGAACTGACCTTTATGTGCCCTTTCCTTCCCTTTAACCAAAGATTACAAATGTACCCCATACTACCGGTAAGTGCACTAGAAGTCAGTTGAGGGAAAAGTCAATTAACATGCTGAACATCATACTGCTGTTGGATCCAGATGTTTACAGATAGTATCAACAGTGTATTCAGCTGTTAGATGCTGTGTAGCAGACATAAAGACATGAAAGGCCAGTTAGTGAAGCCAAATTATAGAAATATACAAACAACGAGACATCATGTATCTTTCTAAAAAACAAATAATTTGTTTACATAAACATCTGGCTGAACTCTCAGTGGGAGTTTGTTAGTGTAAACACTTATTAAAGTTCATTTATATCTGCTTTTTTATTCAGTTATGTAGACAGACTTTCAGTTTCCTCACCAGTTTTTCATCAAGTCAAATCTTCGTCATCGTTTTCTGTGTCACACATTGTTTCACCAACACATTCAGTTTCATTTAAAGGTCATTAAGAGGCCTTTTAGATGGAAGAAATATAAAAGAAAGATTACGGAAGATAAATAAATTAGATCAGTCAAAAATAATGTTTTAATGCAGATAAAGTTTGATTTTGAAAAACTCCAATAAACATGTTAAAAATCCTCCACTTTCATTTCCTCCTGAATGTTGACCCTTCAGAAAATGGATTTGATCAGCTGTCTCATTCAAAAGTTTACCTGCAGTCCATCCTTTCGGAGTGAAGGGGGACGCTGATCTTGTTGTCCGTATAAAGGAAAAAGTGAAAAAGCCTTACTTTTTAAAATACTTTCGAGAGTGTCATCATGTGCATTTTTAACAGTTCAAAATACATTTTCAATTAGACACAACAGCAAAAATATCAGCTAATCTGTTTTCTAAAGAAGGAGAAAATCTTTTTCCATTAATTATTTATCAATGATTGAAACACTTAAATGACCATGCTTGTTGAGGATTCATTTTCTGTTTAATTGATGACTGAAGCATTTAGCTCCACACACTCCATATGTCCTCTTAAACATGACATCTTGGACATACAGAGTAAAACAAACTCTTGAACATCCCTATTCTTCTCACACTGACTCCCATTGCAATGTGCTTTGTTCCCACAGCTGCTCACCATGCTTAGAAGTCAGTTGAAGAAAAAGTCAGTTAACACGATGACACCATACTGCTGTTGAACAAAATGTGAAAATTGTACATGTATTTGTGTGCCCAGGATAATTTGTTCTCATACTTATTTTAAAACTTCATCAGAAAACACAGTTGCAGATCAGATGATGAGAGATTGAGGCAACAGTTGCACAGTCAGAGATGTGGCCTCTGACATGTTCATCATAGTTTATAATGACACAAAAAAGTGATGACACAGTCCTTTTAAAACACCTCAGGGTGTTTTTTTGGGATGAGTGAAAATGCTCTTTTACCTGCTACAAGTTACATCACTGTGCAAGACGTATTATACAAAATATGAATGATTATTGATAGTAAGCTCACAGAAAAATCACATCCCATTGATACAACCCAGTAAAAATGAAGCAAACATTATTTAAATCATCACTATCATGATTGGTTTTTGGTGCTGCTGTGGCCTTTTGTCCCATTTGACAGTAAATGTCTATGAACCTTTCACACATGATGTGATATTATGGAGACGCACAACAGTCTTGATGCTTCATAGTAAACTGTCAGTATGACCATTTTTGGACTTTTTAATATTGTGACAGAGGACTGGCTTATTGGATATGGTTTTAATTTTCCCGACATGTATGCGTAATTGTGAACAGTGAACGATGTGGGAAACAGCTCGTTGCTCTCGAACTGAGTCAGCTGAGAAATATCTGTCACATCTGGTGAAATGTTAATGTCACTTCTTCTTTACTGTCAGACCTTTTAAGAATAAATGTAATATTCTTCAGAATCAAGTTTGAGAGTAAGCTTCCGGACAGCCAAAATGTGATGTTTGAGATTTTCAGTCAGGTGTTTATTGGATCCAGATGTTTACAGATAGTATCAACAGTGTATTCAGCTGTTAGATGCTGTGTAGCAGACATGAAGACATGAAAGGCCAGTTAGTGAAGCCAAATTATAGAAATATACAAACAACGAGACATCATGTAGCTTTCTAAAAAACAAATAATTTGTTTACATAAACATCTGGCTGAACTCTCAGTGGGAGTTTGTTAGTGTAAACACTTATTAAAGTTCATTTATATCTGCTTTTTTATTCAGTTATGTAGACAGACTTTCAGTTTCCTCACCAGTTTTTCATCAAGTCAAATCTTCGTCATCGTTTTCTGCGTCACACATTGTTTCACCAACACATTCAGTTTCATTTAAAGGTCATTAAGAGGCCTTTTAGATGGAAGAAATATAAAAGAAAGATTACGGAAGATAAATAAATTAGATCAGTCAAAAATAATGTTTTAATGCAGATAAAGTTTGATTTTGAAAAACTCCAATAAACATGTTAAAAATCCTCCACTTTCATTTCCTCCTGAATGTTGACCCTTCAGAAAATGGATTTGATCAGCTGTCTCATTCAAAAGTTTACCTGCAGTCCATCCTTTCGGAGTGAAGGGGGACGCTGATCTTGTTGTCCGTATAAAGGAAAAAGTGAAAAAGCCTTACTTTTTAAAATACTTTCGAGAGTGTCATCATGTGCATTTTTAACAGTTCAAAATACATTTTCAATTAGACACAACAGCAAAAATATCAGCTAATCTGTTTTCTAAAGAAGGAGAAAATCTTTTTCCATTAATTATTTATCAATGATTGAAACACTTAAATGACCATGCTTGTTGAGGATTCATTTTCTGTTTAATTGATGACTGAAGCATTTAGCTCCACACACTCCATATGTCCTCTTAAACATAACATCTTGGACATACAGAGTAAAACAAACTCTTGAATATCCCTATTCTTCTCACGCTGACTCCCATTGCAATGTGCTTTGTTCCCACAGCTGCTCACCATGCTTAGCCTGTTGCACAACTTGTCTGATACTTTACCTGATTAGTCAGTCTGCTTCTATTTATACGATGTCAACCATCTCATGGTAATTATGGTCGTAAAAAATCATGAATTAACAGGAAACCTTTGTGTAAGAATTCTGAGGGAAATAGAAGAGAAACACTGAGACACAACACACTCTTAGGGATCTTTTTAGAATCCTTCTGGGGGTGTTTCTTGTCAGTCCACTTTATAAAGCAACATTGGATGAAAACCAGATGCCAAATTCAAACTGTGTGAGGAGAACTTGCATCCAAAAAGTGTGAGAGAATATCCAAAGCCAACATTTGTATCCAGGATTGTGCAACATGAGCAAAAAATCCTTCCCGTCAGACCGAAACATCAGTCACTATTATTTCAAAGGCCACACACACACACACACACACACACACACACACACACACACACACACACACACACACACACACACACACACACGCACAGACCAGATGTAGTTGAAAACATGGATAACTTAATCAAAAAATGAGAACTCTGTGGAAACAAATTCAATTCCCAATTAA